ATATTACATTCTTATATGTATAGAAGCCATTAGGAGCGATAAACGCGTGCTTCTGACCGCACACTCACACAGCTAATGAAACATCAACCTTAGAAATAAACAACCGTAACATTGAGATTATGCCGCTGAATACAGCGAACCCCAGTTGAAACGCATACACGAGAATGCGTGTTTCATTTAAACTTGTTCTCATGGCCTTAACTATCGGCGTGTCCTCAGAGCGATTACATGCTGTAGACTACGTGTTGCTCCAACTGTATGAACACAGATGTGTAAATGCTGCTGCAAATATGCTTTTTTCAATTAGCAGACCAGGTAATATACACAGTGATATGGATTAAAACAGCATTCACTTATCTTAGATGTGGATTTCAGATGTTCTGAAACACGCTGCAACAGTTTGATTTGCGAGCAGCGATGCTTAATTTGCTCCGAAGCAAGCGGAAAAGCTGCTGAATAATACTGAATACAGCTTATATAAGAATGCCGCGATAGGTGTTGTATCCCTATAGGTAGATGTGATCAGCTGAGAATCAGCTGATGCAAGCTTGACTCACGTGACCTGCCAGAACTAACGCTAAAGCTTAATTTTTACCTAATTTCTAAATGGTTCGTAAACGACTCGTGCGAAGCAGTTCAAAGAATCAGTCTCTCTAAACCCCTCTTTTCCGTGAGCCCTCACTGCTGTGATTGGTCAGATGGGGCAGTCATTTGTGATTGGTCCAGAGCCGTAGAGAGATTGGCTCTGGATTGGTCTACCGCGTACGGCGCGTGTTGGAAACGAAATGCCCATTGCAATGAAGGAATGACAGCCTGGAGACTTGTCAATACATAGAAAAGATGGTATCGATTGTACCTTGCCAATTCAAGCCGGAGTCTGATGACGAAACGGTTGAACTAATCGACAAGAGACTGATTCACAAGCATGACTGGAGCAGGACGTTTCTCAGTGATAGGTGTCAAGTGTTAACAAGTTTGTGGTAATTATAAGATGTGATAAAACAAATTTACTCTCTCAGATGCGCGCCATGTTCAGCAGCGGCAGCTCCTAAAGCAGCCAAAATAACCTAATAACCCAGCTGCTGTGATATCTGTTAATCAAAGAACAGAAGAAAAAAAGAGAAAATCAATAACTTTTGTAGCTTTAAGGATTCATCTATATTTAATTTAGAATTTAGTGTTTGATAACTTCATTCAATTTCTGTATATTTCCTACTTGCTGAAGGGGACAGGTAAATATGATATTTATTATAATGGGTTTATGTGAAAATTGTCATTTAAGTTCACTTAAATTAAAAGTTGTTATTTTTTAAAGTCTAATAAATGTTCAAATTGATAGCTCTCAATTATACTTTAATGTTGAATGGCTATAGTCAATGGTTAAATATTTCATACAATTTCAGTTTCATAGAGACATCAGTAGTATTCATATCAGTGATACAATTAATTAGTTATGTTTTTAATCAATTGAAAGCACTAATCATAATGTTCATTAAGAACATTAACTAACATTTTACATTATAAAATGCTTAGCAGATCATTGTGATGTTTAATGCTTATTGCATTAGTTCAAAACATCACGCAACATTTTTTTCTCATTGTTTTATATATATGAGTGCTTGTGCGGACAGGCAACAGTAAATAGACAGACACATACACAGAGCGCTACTGAAGAGCAGAAGCTGGTTTGCGCCCGGCCGGATGTGCTTTTATGCTTTCTGGTGCTTACGTCACCCTGCTCGTGACGTCTCGCTGCTCCATTGGACGGATTTGACACGTGCTTCAGAACGCGGTCACGCAAGGGCGTTCCCAAAGCGACTCGACGCAGCTCGAGTTCCTGAAGGGGAACTTCTGTTTTCTCCTGCAGTATTTTCACTGACCCCCAGGGGTCTGCTGGGTTTAGATGATCTCTGTGGGTGCCAAATGACAGTTGAAAATAGCACCATTGCGTCTTTTTCCAATGCCCATAATGCTAAATCAAGAAGAATTGAGCAATCTTTTGTAGGATGATGTTTTTCACATTGGTAATTCTCTTAATTTCCATTTTATAATTACAGTCATAGTTCTCAGTGTAAACAGATGTAATAAATACCACAGCACACACTGTTCCAATTAATGTCGTGCTTTTAGATGAGGCTCACAGATCTGCTACAAATGGCAGACAGCAAACTTTACCCAAAAGACTGTCACTTTTGTCACACTTTCAAACCTGACTTTCAAAGCTTCACGGTAGAGCCCGACAATCCCCATTCAGTTTCCATTTGCAGTGTCCCTCTAATTCAAACTTGAAGCGATTCATTCTTCTATGTATGTTTTGCCCACTTTAATTAAAAACTGCATTTGGCCTTCGCAAACCAATTATTTCTCCTGGTCCTGTTTCTTTCTTTTGCTAAGCAACATCTGTGCCTAGGCTCCTTCAAGGGTACATCACAAAACCCGTAAATGCTTAATAGAGGTAATTGGCAGTGGAGGCCTCCACAATAAGAGTCAATAGCACTGACCCAGTGCTTTAATTGCCATACATGAATCAATATGTTTCTTAAAGGCTGAATAAAGAATAGGTTGAAGTTCTATTGACAAACAGAGGCGTGGAGACTTATGTTTCCCCACTGATCGAAATGTCTTCACGTTTTGTCAGACATAGTCTTGTAATCTCTTGCTCACTTATTCTTCCTTTCTCTCTATTGTGTCGTTCTCCAAAGGGTCTCTTAGGAAACAAATATCTTTTTAACGCACTGTAAATTGAGAACAGCATGTTAAACTCATCAGAGGCCTTGACTCAAACTCACTCTTTGGGAGCAGCTTGTTAAAGTGACAAAAAAAATAATAAAAATAACATTGTGACAAAGTATTTCTAAAATGTAGAGCATCTTTTTAAAGAGCTTCCCCTATCACTCAGAAAGAGGATACCAGAGTTTAAGCATCCTCTTGATTTCAAACAAATTCATTACATCACTTGCAATATATTCGCAAACATCAGTCTCTTGCAATGTATATGTAATAGAGCCACATGCTCTTCAAAAACAATTCTTTGACATTGTATTGTATAACACATCAGACTTCAGATATACTGTACAGTTATATTAAGATCAAATAGGGGGAGCTGCAGTGAATATTTGCTGTTACTGCACTATGCTCTGATCTGTCTGTGATTAAACTGGGATTTGATTTGTTGTGTGTGTGTGTGTGTGTGTGTGTGTGTGTGTGTGTGTGTGTGTGTTTGTGTACAGTATGACTTTGTGGAGCTGTTGGACGGCAGTCGTCTGATAGCTAAAGAGAAGCGTGGACTGGTGGAGGTGGAAGGAGCAGCCAGAAAGGCTCGTGCGGTTAACGTTCATGAGGCAGAGTTCATCCGCTACCTGGACTCAGGCACCTGGCACCTCGCCTTTTACAATGACGGCAAAAACACTGAGCAGGTCTCCTACAACACCATCATCATAGGTAAATGATGACTATACATATCATATTATGTTGTTTTTATACATGTTTTTATTATATACAGCACTGTGCAAAAGTCTTAGGCCATTAGTATGTTTACCAACATAAAATAATTTTAAGCCAGTCATTTCTATCTTTTGCTGTAGTGTCAAATATCATCCAAACAAGATGCTTGAAGAAAATCTATTTATGACATTATTTTTGAAAGTATCCTCACTTTACAGCATTTTTACACAAGTGCCTAAAACATTTCACATTAGCTTTGTAGGAAGGTTTCTTCAAGTGTCTTTGGAGACGTTGCCAAAATTCATCTGGATTTAGTCTGCCTCCGTTTTTTCTGATTCTTCATGTAATTCCAGATGAACTCAGTGAAGGTGAGATCAGATCTCTGTGTGGAGCACTGGCTGCTGGCAGACTCGTTGTGCATACAAAAACCTCACTGGATTATTACAATTAATGGCTAAAGGAATGTTTGGAAATGTAAACTGCTATTTCCTACTGACACACTATAGCAACATATAGAAATAACTGGAAATAACTTAAAACCATTTTTTGTTGGTAAAAATACTAATGGCCTAAGACTTTTGCACAGTACTGTATCATGTCATAAAATCAATTAGATTTTTTTTAAGAATCTGCTCTATTTATTGGTCGCTATTCAAAATTGTGACAGACCATGTTAACTTGCCCCCACTGAAGCACAGGATGCTCTTGGAACCTTCTCAAATAATTCTGGATCACATGATCATGAAATAATTCTGGATCACAAGAGTTCTTGACCCTTGAATGTTGTTGTCAGTAGAGCAAAAATGAGGCATGCAAACTTCTAAGACATTGTGAAATTCATTTAAAATTTCAGTTAATTTGATGTGCTGATAATATTATTTATAGGAAAACACGGTGTACAATATACACTTATAAAACTTTGAGGTGAGTCAGATTTAGAATGAAAGAATGAAATGAAAGAAAGAAAGAAAGAAATCCTAGCAGTAAAGACAATTAAAATTAAACAAAAGATTTATATTTCAAATAAATGTTCCTTCTAATTTTCTATTCATCAAAGAAATCTGAAAATAAAATCTATCATGGTTTCCACATAAATATTGAATAAGTTTTTGATAAAACAACAAAGTAATAACTATAACTGAACACCAAAAATAACTGACAACAACTGAGCACCAAATCAGCATATTATGATTTCTGAAGGATCAAGTGACACTAATGACTGGAATAATGGCTGCTGAAAATTCAGCTTTGCCTTCACAGGAATAAATTACATTTTAAAATATATTCAAATAGAAAACAGTTATTTTAAGAGTATCAATATTTCACAGTATTACTGTTTTTACTTTTTCTAAACAGATGCAGCCTTGGTGAGCATAACGAACTTCTTTCAAATTCATAAAAAAATAATAATCATATGTATTCCAAGCTTTTGAATGCTAATGCATTTTATACACTTTTTGGTTACACTTTACTTGAAGGGGTGTGCATAAGACTGACATGACACCTTCATAATCATGACATGACACCTACATAATTATGACATGACACATATCATGAATATGAAGGTTTTTTATGCATGTTTATGACAACTGTCATTAAGTGTCATTTGCTCAGTTATGTAATTTTTAGTGCAAAGCTGACATTGTTTGAGATGTCTTTGTTATGGGCTATGGTTAGGGGTAAGGGTAGGGGTAGGG